ATCAGAAAAAAAGACTTGCAGAAAACTCAGTGATTCCAAAAGGCTAAAGACCAGTAAGATCTCATGAGGGCAGGAAGCCTCTCCTTGATATAAACCTAAAAGTTAGTTTTATTTCTTGTCACCTGCCTTCAAACTAAAGGGCAGTAGACTATCTGCTATTATTTCAACAGGCTACTTTTATGCCTGTATCTTTGCTCAATCTGGCCTAGAGTGTTCTCTACCTAACCTATCCCTGCCTAGAAACCTTAGAGTTCCATCAATGCCTAACACAACGGCCAATTCCTACTTCAGGAGCCTTCCTTGGTTCCCTCCTGTACCCACACATCCAAGGCAAATGAATCATCTTCCGTGGGACCACCATACCACCGTTCTGGCCTGTATCACCCTAACAGTAGTCTCATCTCATGAGGCAGAGAGCTCCTCGTACCTAGCACAGAATCTTCACAGCATTCAACAAATGTTTGATAAATTAGCATATCTAAGGCTTTCTCCCACCCCACAGGACACTTTCTATCGGTCACATTCATCTGAAAGCTTTACTATAAATTTAACTTTGCTACAAAATAAACCAGGTGACTCACAGGCCACCTGTGATATAGGACTAGCCTTTCCTGTCTTTCCTGGCCTCTTAGTATGTGAAAGTGCTGATGATTCCCTCTGCACTGCTACCACCTGATGAGGTTATCTAGAGATCTCCAGCACATGAAGGCAAATCCCTTCCACCAATACAGCAACCCCAAGGAGTAGACAGGGCAGACGTCATCCCCCAAATCTACAGAGTAAGAAGCAAAGAAAGAGGTTAAACAACTTGCCCAAGTTCACGCGACTCACAAAGCTGAGGCTGAAGCAAATCCAGGACCTCAAACTTAACAGTAGTTCTGATTCCCCATGCTGGTTTGCTGAAAATATTTCCAGTGAAAATATTACACTTTTAATTACTTAAAAACAGAAATATAGATCTAGACATAAAATTTTTTTAACGTATAAAGAAAAAAAGACTAAAAGGACATACTCTACTAAAATGATGTTCTCTGGACAGAATTATGAATAATTTGCTTTTCTCTGTGTCTTCTTATGTGTGTGTGTGTTTTATACCATATGCATTGAATCCACATAAAAGAACTAATATATGTTATAAAAGTGTAAGGGCCACTGTAAAACTAGTATATAAGGAAAAATAAACCTGAGAACCTCAAAGAAAAATTATTTCATTAGAAAACATTTTCTAAAATCTCAATTTAACTCTGAGACTAGATCCTCAATGGAACAACCTAAGCAACCACACATGCCTTACGACAGAAATTAGCAATATGGTTTCACGTGATACACACACTTTTTTCTAGTCACCCATAGGTGAAACCCAGTGATAAAGTTTTCTTTCACTGAGGCTGTAAAAAAAAAAAAAAAAAAAAAAAAAAATTACCCTGACTATGAAGTTTATTTATTCTACAGTCTGGAAAAGAAAAGTCTAAATAGGTTCCTTCTTGCCTTAGGTATTAGAATATATCTCCAATAGGAAATCACTCTATGGAAGAAATAAGTTAAAGAGAGAAGGCAGGAGGTCAAAAGACTTGATTAAAAGATTTTTAGGAAAATGTCCCTAATACCTCTCATCTTTCCTGAAAAGAGAAAAAGATATGACAAATATTTCAGTGCACTATTTGACTAGAGATCTGTAGAATCAGAAAAAATAAAACTCATTAAAGTCGCTTTTCCTTTACACATCTTTTATAGATCAATCCCGAATTCTGGATGATGTGCACATCCTGAACATCTGGATCTTCAGGCCCTTAACTTCAGAGAAGATACAGTAAATCAAGGACTTGGCAATTTTAAGTGTAAAAATGGGCAGAGTTAAAACTGGGATCTAATCCAAGCTATACTTAGACATAAGTAAGCAAAGGAGAATACAAATATCAAATTGGACTACTTAATTCAAGTTGGAAGTATATTAGACCTTCTGCTTATATAAAACATTAGGGCCGCAAATGTGTCTGTCGTCTCCTTAGAGCTCCCGAACACAGGTGGATGAGAAGGCACTTCCCCAGGGAAGAGACAGCAGAGAAGATCCCCAGGAGGGATTCCATAACAGGGCTATTTCCTCTTTTCAAAGATTTTGCAAAGAATACTTTCAAGATTTTGTTGCTGAACCACAATACACAGACAATTAAAAAACAGACCCACCCATTGAGTTACTTACTGCGAGTGGAATCTGTCCTTCTGGAAGTGCCAGATGGAGATTAAGGAAAAAAAAAGAAGCTCTTTACTAATTGTGGCCAAGATTCCTTGGTACTTGGTGCCAGGGCTAGGATATTAACCCAGATGTCCTAGCCAAATTCAAGGTTGGTTAATTACAGTCTGCCAACCTACCAAAAGAGAAAAAAAAAAAAGGCCTCTTCTGTTCCCCCGATTGAAATCTGAACCGGTCACTCTTACTTGAAATTCTTGGGTAGTATCATCAGTCAATATGTTTTCCCTTAAAAGTGCATTGTAACTCAAATGCTGATTTAAAGCATATGGATTCTTTGAGTTCCAGCTACATGGGAAACATGCACTATGTATATTAAAAATATATAAGATGCTGTAATAGTTTAAAGCCTCCCTAAACAATCATCTAAAAAATTCATATTCAGCGTAATACTAACACTGCTTTCCAATTAAGATTTAAGAGACTTACATAAAGGTTTATATTAAACATAAATCTTGAACCACAAAACTTTTAAGACTAAAAAGGAAGGCTTTGCTGCCAGGAGCACAAGTCCAGGAAAAAGCTATACATACAAATGTCAGTTACAAGGCCTCCCAGGGCTGAGCAAAGATCCTGCATACAAATAGGACAGTACACACTCAACAGCAAGTCTGAACATCAAGTACTGGTTTGGCCTTTCCGCCTCTGAAGGTTCCCTTGCCAACGTATTCTGTTTAATAACATAAACCCAAGTTCAATTTCTAGCTCTATATTCACGGCTATGTAGCCTTTCAGGTTAGGTAGTAAAATTCTTTGAGCCTCAGTTCCCCCCATCTTTAACTCTTTCTTCATCGAGATCCCTAATAACACGGCATTAGTCTATATCTTTTGCTATTTTAAATATTTTAATAAATACATATTTTAAGAACTATAATCTGTATGGCCCCCTCCCAAGCTTCCACACCCAGACCTTTGCACTTGCTGTTCCCTCTTCCTAGTATGCTCTTCCCTCTGGGATCTACATTCCTTTACTTCCTTTAGATTTCTACTCAAAAGTCACATTCTCAGCAAGGTTTCCTCTTGCCACCCAATCTAAAGTTTCCGTTACCCCAACTCTTGTCCCCAAAACTTCATATTCCCCCTTCCGATTTTTTCCTACCACGTATCACTACAACAAATTTTATTAATATGGTTGTTGTCTGCCTCCCCTACTTGAAGGAGCGTTCCAAGAGAACAGAGATTTTTGTGTTTTATTTGCTGCTGTATCACCAGGTCCCAGATGGCAGCTGGCACACAGTAGGTGCTCAATAAATATTTGTTGTGTGAATACCAAATGAGACCTAATTACAGCTAACAGATAGGTACATCATAGCCCCTCAAGCAGCCTTTAGGGAGAATATCAAACTTCGAAAATACTGTAAAGGAGAATAGACTTGCCATGAATAACACCGTCCATTCTTTTATCATAGGAAGATACTCTAACTCCCATCTCATTTGTACAAGGGAGGAAAGAAGCTGAAAACCTGGATAAAGTGGAAAGTTATGAGGTGAAAAGTCTCACTTTAGTTAACACTGTACAGACAAGGTTTTCTTGCAATGTTAACAAATATTAAGCTATCTTCCTGTGACTTCTACAGAACCTGTCTTGAAACCTATGGACTTTATATTTTCAATTAACTAAATAATAAATAGAACATGAGGCTCTACAGAATCCTGCAGAGGGTGCTATAAAGTGAAATATAGACAGATAGATAGATAGATAGATGGATAGATATGGCAAGGACCATACACACATACACAGAAGACCAAAAATATATCTGCAAATGTGTGAATTCAAAGGGGCCTATCTTTGAATGGAGTATAAGAGGACCAATTCATCGCTCCACCATCCATTAAAAAGCAAGAGTAAAACATTACCAAGTTAAGTTCATATGCATTTTGGGTCACATAGGGTACAACAGACTCAATGTTAGACACTGTTAAAAAATTTTTTTTAAATATCAATTACCAAATCCTAAACTTCTAAAGAACAGAAACCAGATCATGTTGTTCTCAGGCACAAGGAGGAGCTTAAGAGACTGTTGGAAAAATAAGGAAGAGTGAGATCTTTATCTTCAGACAGGATACCTAGGCAAGATCCCACCCAGTTTCAGGTTTTTTTACTCCTCTGAACTAGGCCTAGTGAGAAGCCTAAGATGTACTTTACCACTCTCTCTGAACCTTAAAAACTCAGCACCAGCCCTTGACCACGCGATCACCCACTTCTTTGCTTTCATTAAGGCCAGGCTTGCTCCTTCCCAGAGATTCACGATACTAATTATTAAGCACGATACTAATTATTAAGCACCGGAGGTCAATACCTGAGCTCAAATCCCAACACCACCAATTACCAGCTGTATGACTCTGGGCAAGGTACTTAACCTTTCTATGCCTCCTCTGTAAAATGGGGATAATGACAGCACCCTCATTGGGTTAGGTTGATTAGTGAGATAAAATACATAAAAGACTTGCCCAGAGCCAGACCATGGGAAGCCCTCAATAAATGATAATTGTTATTTTCAGAGGGAAAAAATGCCCCCAAGGCTAAGGAACAACATACCTGAGGACTCTTTTCAAAGATTATCATTAAAGCAAAGTCAAACACTTGATCTCCCAACTCAGGGACACCGCAGGTAATAATAATAAAATGTCTAACCAATGTACTGTATACTTGAAACTAACTAAAATAAATAAATTTATTTAAAAAAATAAGGCAGTAACACCAGCCAGGATCATAACCATAACAGCAACAACAGCCACATTTAATACTTACTGAGCTCTTACTGGCCAAGCACTGTCCTAACCTAAAACAGGAAGAAGCCAAGATTGCTGAATCCAAAAAAAAAAAAAAAAAAAAATTGCAGAATTTTTTCCACCCTCCTTTTTTAACACGGTAATTGGCGCCCAAGTTTTGCTAAAAACAGGTATCTGAAAGGACTAAGGATTTAACGTGTCATTTCTTCATACCAAAGAGGTGGGGCCGTGACGGGAGGAGGGGGTGGCGCTCGGTCCCTGCCAGATGGGAAAGCCACACGAAGTGCAGAAACAGCCGCCGAGTTCAAGGTTGACCCCCAAATCGAAATCAGATTTTTTTGAAGCACGGGGCCTCCAAAGGCTCCGCTTTTAAAATAACCTCTGAACAAGTGTCATCCGTCCGCCGAGCCAATCCCCTGCCGAGGCAGAAGGTTCGGGTTACGGGCCAGCGGTG